CCTCTATCATTCAATAAGATGTTGTTTGGGTTCAAATCGCGGCACACAATTCCCTCTCTGTGTAAAGCATCAAGGGCTACCACCATTTCAGCTGCCCATCTCTGAATGCAGCCCTCTGGGATGTAAAACCTGGAGTGTAGTGCTAATTTTTTATCAAGGTCCTCAAAAATCTGATGTATCTCCTTGTCTCCTTCTAGTGCTCGCCCACTGGCTTCCTTAGTCGCAGAGTCTCTCTGAAATAAAGTCTGTTCTTCTTCAGCCAAATCATCAGCTTGGTCTGTAAACAGCAATACTTCCTCACTTTTTAAAGTGTCCGTGTCTGCATTGTATTCGTTAGCACCTGAGAGTGGGTCAGAAGCAGGGAATACGCTTTCCTCTGTGTTGTTTGCAGTCACTGCCGACTCGACCACTCCACGTCCTTGACAGTTAGGTTGTGGGCTATGCATCAAGGAAATGTCTGAGCTACTATGATCAACAGCAGCTCCAAATAACATCCCAGGACCCCCCTCTACATAGTGTTTCTCTGTTATACCATCAGATGGAAGCCTAGAGGAGTCACTCAATTCTTCTGCACCTTCTCCTTCCTGTGCTTGGCACTGTTCAGCACTAAGCCTGAGGCATAAGACATCGGGGGCTTCCAATAGTTTACTTTCTATTATGCCTACATTAGTCTGTGTAAACTTAGTAGGTCCCATTGCTGCACCATCTTTTGTTGGTTCCAATTCACCAGGTAGGTTTACAAGAAGATCAGGCCTTCCTTCATCAGTACCACTGATATCATCAAAAGCAGCATCTTTAAAAGAAATAACTGGAACAGAGTCATCAGAGCCCCTGCTAATGGTGTCCTGAGCTATAACCTTGCTTTCACTAATATTAAAACTCCTGTCTCCGTCTGAAAGAGTAAAAAATGGTTTCAAAGGCTCTGACTTTAGACTATACATTTTTTCTCCAAAATCAAGTCCTAGGAGTTCACTAGTGCTATCCTTACTGTCTATCCTAAAGAATTCCATGGAGCTGGTTTTAGATCTACTGAGGGAATCTGATGTCCTTGGAGAACTAACTGTTTCCTGATCATCATTTCCAGGGAAGAATTTAAGCTCGTGTGCCACCAGCTGGGTGCTGGGGCTGTCGCTGTCAGCAACAAGGTGCGTGGGGAAGCCTTCAACAGCTTTGGTATCAACACCTTTTCCTTCAGTCTTCATGAAAGGCTCCTCATTCAGTGACCCTGGTTCAATCTTTTCTTGCCCATATTCATTGCATAAGGTTAAATAACTAGTAGTGCATTCTTCTTCTGAACTTGAGCCAGAATCTGGCCATTTTGGTGAGCTATCTTGGCCATCATCGTCTTGGTTGATATCATCTTGAGAGCTCAGGGTAAGACTACTTTTCAGAGGCAGAACCTGAGGTGTGGGTCCAGCATCGCTTCCTCTGGATTCAAAGCTGCTGCTGCCCTGAGGACTGGAAGTTGGCTGTTGCAGGTGAACTTTCGTAAGTGCAGGTTTTTTCACTTCTTCGATGTCAAAGCTTTCTTCAGGACTTCTGTTGAGAAATTTACTGACATATGACCACAGTCTGCCAC